AAGGGTTTTTCAATTTTTTGACAAACAGGGAAAAACGTGCAAACTAATACAACATTCAACTCCCAGAGGAATGTGTAAAATTAAAAATAAGGTGTGCAAAATTAGCCGAAGCGAGTAGCATAAGAATTTTTCAAGTTTCAGATAAACGGGGAAAAAAGTGCACATTTATCCGACCTCATAACTTTTCCCAGAAGAGTGTGCAAAATTTGAAAATAGGTGTGCAAAATTGTCCAAAATTAGATGAAACGAGTAGCATAGGGGTCTATCAATTTTTTTAAAAACGGGTGGGGTTCTGCAAATTTTTGATACGATATAACTTTCCCTAGAAAAGTGTGCAAATTTTGAAAATCGGTGTGCAAAATTATGGGTTATTTATTTTTGAAATTTGTCTATTTGTCGAAAAAAGCAAATTTTCAAAGACGGGGGTAGTCCTGACAACCTGTTCACCTCTCGACCTGTCATATTTTGACAGCTGTCAAAAATTACATTTGACAGCTGTTGAGTATTCCAAATTGTATTATCATCCGAACTTAAACTGTATGCAAAATTTCAGCAAAATCTATTGCGAAGAAATGGTTCACAAATCTGCATCTGTTACATTTGACAGTTAACACCTGTCATCAGTGGTCTAAAATGTATTATCATCCGAACTTAAAGTGTATGCAAAATTTCAGCAAAATCCGTTGCGAAATAATGGTTCAAAAATCTGCACCTGTCACATTTGACAGTTGACACCTGTCATTAGTGATCTAAAATATATTATCATCTAATCACCTGAACTTGAAGTGTATGCTAAATTTCAGCAAAATCCGTTGTGAAGATATGGTTCAATCTGCAACTGTCTCAATTTGACAGTTGACACCTGTCATTAGCGGTCTAAAACCTTCTTATTATTATTGCCTTTCATATTAAACATTAAACTGGTTTGAGGCACATCGATCGGATAGTTTTAAACTCTATAACGGACATAGGTAGACACACAGACAGACAGACAGAAACAATTTTTGTGTTTTATTCCTCTATTTATTAGTAACAGAAAATTACTACCCACAAAAATACATAACTATTTACCTATTTATTATTTTTTTTAAATTATAAAATATTCCTATTCTATGGTAGGTATATGTATAATAAGTACCTATATAAAACACAGGCATTTAATTTGTTATACAAAAGACAACTTGGCAACGCAGCCTAGCAAATACGCGTGCATTTAGTGCCTCAAATTAATTTAATCGCAGAAACGACTGATTTTACTAGGACACTAGCGCCGTCACGCAGGTTTATATTTTGCCGCCGGACGGTTCTTCTAGAGACGTTAGTCTATAATATTCTTTGGTATAGGATATTATACATAAAATATGCTTAGAATTTCTCATAGAATCCAAAAATGTAATAATATAGGGGGTGATCTAGTTGAAATAAAGAAGTTGATGGCACTTGCGGTCAAACCAGAAGCGATAGTCGATTGTTTTTATAGCGAAATTCTGCATCGATATCAATAATATACATCCTCAAAACTTGAAATCGATATTGATATTCATGCCTGAACTACAGCTTGGTCAGTAATCTCGTGGTCACCCGATATATACAAATACTTGTTTAGGTAGAATCGTTGCAAAATGCTCATTTAGCCGCCAGAATTTACAGGGAAACTAGGGACAAATTTCCCAAAAGAAAAGCACCCATCTGATGAAAAAACATTGTCACATTGTGCCCGTTTTACAAAGATTGCGTGATACCGTGATACCTGAAGTGTGAGTGTGCAAAATCTGCGTATTGATTTTAGTGTTTTGAGAACCTTTTAACAATAATTAATATTTTCATAATAAGGATTTGGCAAGTAGCTGAGTAAGTATTATTTGATTTTTCTCTTGAATGTTTAGTGCAAAAATGTCATTGAGTGCAATTCACCTTAATAAAAAGGCATATTTTTTATTTTTACTGGAAAAGTGATAGAAATGCAAGTTATTATTTACATTATTTGAAAGCCAATAATAAACCAAATCGTAAACAGACGAAAATAATGTCTGTTTTTTTTTTAAGATAAAAGTCATCAAAATGACATTATGTTGGCAATACAATGTAAAATTGTCAATGCTTTCAAATTTTTTAAGTAGAAAAGGATTGTGTTGCCAACATAGTTACTAAATTTCTGACTTGCTCCGTGCAAAAAAAAGTTCTTCAAAGATAATACCTGTAACAATGTTGTCACGTTGTTAACATTTTTCTAAATTTAAATTCTACGATAACCCCTAAAATACTAAGAGTTGACCCTAATAGGACAGTTTTAGCTTGAAATGGTCCATATTATCTCATGTTAAAATATTTGTACTTATATACCCAATACACCCTGTATGTAATTGAGAAAATGTCAAATGTAATTGAGGAAATTCAAATGTAATTGAGAATAAGTTAATTGTTATCGAGATTCGAGAATAGTCAAATGTAATTGAGAAACCGTCAAATTTTATTGAGAAAATGTTTAATGTTATTGTGAATGCGTTAATTGTACTTCAGAAAGCATTAAATGAAATTCAGAATAGGTCAAATAAAATTAGGATCATGCAAAATTCTAAAGTGTGGAGTATAATTGAGCAATCCATATTCAATATCCCCTTGAATTCTCACCAATTTGTGGCACCTTGTATAAGAAATTTTCGAATTTTCATAATCTCATTTCATTTGACCTATTCTGAATCTCATTTGATGCTTCCTGAATTACATTTTTAACATTTTCCCAATCTAATTTGAAGCTTTCTCAATTACATTTGACTATTCTCGATTAAAATTAACGCATTTTCAATTACATTTGACTATTCTCAATTACATTTAACGCTTTCTCAAATACATTTGATTATTCTCAATTACAATTGACGTTTTCTGAATTACCTATTGGGAAAGGTGTAATATTTCTAACACTAAATTTCGACTGAAATTAAATTTTGAGGCTCAATTACTCAAAAAGTATTTGAGCTATCAAACTCAATTAAGCACAAATTTATAAAGAATTTAATGCTTTTTCCAATAATGTATAATTTATTTTAATTTGCGTAAATTTTAATGGAAATATTGGCAATTTTTCTTAACCTTGACATGATTAAAAAAAAATAAGAACCAAAAAATGACATATTCTTAACCCGCTCTATCGATTGGAAATGTCAAAATTCGAAAAATATAAAAAATTAATTTTTTTTTCTAAGAGTACTTACCCTTTTGATGGATTCTTATTTTAAAATCTTTAAATTTCAATGTTTTGATGTCTTGAAATCCGTGAGAGATTTTGAATCAAAATTTTCAGGAATTACAACTCCTATTAATGTCTAAAAAACCTGTATTGGAAATATTTCCAGGGTTTATAGTTTTTGAGAAAATAAAGTTTGAAGTTTTTGATTAAACGACTTAATCAACTTTGTGGCTCAATTGTTCAAAAAGTATTTGAGCTATCAAACTCAATTCAGCACAGATTTATAGAGAACTCAATGCTCTTTCCAAAGAAGAAATCCCTCACCCTTCAGGTTCGGGATTTTTTCAGGCGCCATGCACTCATGATTTTATTAAAAAACTGGCTTCAGAAAAAAATTCAAAAATTTCTGGAAATATTTTATGCACTAGTTATATTAACTAAATACTGAAAATATTGGCAATTTTTTGAATTGGTCATTTGAAAATCATGTTAAAGTTTTTTTAGAAATCTGCCGATACAAATTAAATAATTAATTACTGACTAGTCTGAATAATAAAAACTTTTTTGTCAAGAACAAACAAGCTGTCTTGTCTAAATTATTAATTATTTTTGAAGAAAAACGAAGAGGTCTCTGGTTCACCTTGATGGAAGACTGGAAGAGAATTGCAGTAGATGTAGATATTTTTTGTCTGTACCAGTTGGGGGATTCTTTGTTTGAATAATTTTCATATAGTTAAGATTTTTTTTCCATTTCTTATTCCAGATTAGACATTTTCAATGAATTAAACTTTGGCACATTTTTCATCCAATGGTTAAGTTGAAGACCTCAAGATATGAATCGACAAACAAAAATTTTGAAACCAAAAATCCTTGTATCAATGCAACAAAACAGCCACTTATCGATTGGTTGTTCAATAACAATAATAAGTTTTTTATTTGTATATTTTCCGATAAACTAAAAGTTTTACCTGTCATAAGTAGGATTTCTATCGTCAGTATTCAGCCGTTTTATTTCATCAGTCATTGTTACAACACATACAGAAAACTATTTTTAACAATTTTTCTTCCAGTAAACTTCGACGGCCAAAAGTAAACTGACTCAAATAGAGTGTCACAAATAATTATTACGATTATGGACTCGTTTTTATGGCACTATATACTAACTTTCATGTTAATGCATTTGTATATTAATAATGGAAAGATCAATATTTATTTGACTGACAACAATTAGAATTTTAAGCTTTAGATAATTATTTATAATAAAAGATTTCCACTTTATGTTAACAGAGATTGGGTGCAGATGTGATATCTAACCAATCGGAATTGTACTTGAAATTCAGTGGCGAGAATTATGATGTAGATGAAACAATCTACACTGTAGAAGCTTAGTTTTATAATCATTTTCCTGAAACTGGAAAAATTGAAAAGTAAAATTCTCCAGCTTTCAATGAAAACTGCACCATATGTTGCTACATTTGTAGAATAAAAAGTTTAACAAAATGTGACACAAAAGTTTGAAGTTTCTAAGGAATGATTTTGAAAAAGTGTGTAATAATCATATGGTACATTGTTCTACAAATACAAATCAAAATGTATAAAGTAGAATAATTTTTTATATAATTCTGCAACATTGTTGAAAGTTGGAAACAAATGAAAATAAAAAATAAATTATAAATTAAAAATGACAATAGTTATTGATAATAATTGCCAAAAATACAAAAATAATTTTCTCCCTGCCAAGAAATCTATAGAAGCTGAAACCTCTAAATCAAAAAATACAAGAACTAAATTAAAAAAACTCAAAAATTGTTACCTATTATAACTATCATTCCGATCTTCGGCCTTAAGTCGTTTAATTTTATCACTCATCTTCACAAAAATTTACCAAAAAATCACACAATTATTTCGGCCAAAAAACACACAAGTATTTCTCAAAAATTTTTTTTTCTAAATTATTGTGAACTGTTCGCAAACGAAACCAAGGCTAGACTGCGAACCGAAATGGGTTTGGTGAATTCCTACAAGTTCACTTGTTGGTGAGAAAAAAAAAAAAATTGTGCACGTTTATCTATTCAGGATTGGGTCGGGATATTATTAGCGGGATAATGAATGTGGACGACACTGAGTGTGGAACGACTAGTGAGTTATTGCATATTAATTTATATATATAGTACCACTTTTCGCGTTCGCTTTTTATCTTTTTCAATTGACGAAGGTGACAATATAACTTTGCCCGGTAATTTTAGTTCGAGCGCTTATACTAAATTTTCTTCGGATTGATTTAGGATTTTTAGGAATTTTTTTGAGTGTTTATGAAATGTTGACTTTAAGTTTCTGAAATGTTTCTCAATTTTGCCTGTATGTATTTTTAGATTCTTTGCAATTCTTCATTTTGAAGTTTTAAATTTTTCAAAATTCTTTTGTATTGTTTTCATTTGAAGTCTTTTTTTGTCTTGACAACAGGGATTCACTGCATAATTTTTTTGTATCCTGGCCTAGAATAGGCAAGTAGGATAAAAAAAAACACAAAGTGAGATAAATTAAATAATGACGCAAACTTTGATTATTCCCGGTGCTTGAGTGGCCAAAGAGCTTGGAATATAATAGTGTGACAGCAGTATAGCAAACCCGATAAATAGGAAAGAAACAGAAACAAATTTAAGGACGTTTTTGTGTCCGTGAAATGTTGACTTTAAGTTTCTGAAAGGTTTCTTAACTTTGCCTGTATACAGGGTGTCCAAAATACCATGGGCCACCATTGGTATATCAGAAACGGTAAGAGATACGAAGGCAGTTAAATTAGAAAAAAGTTGCCAATTTGAAAGGGTATTTAAAATATATTTTCGTTGTTGCCAAATTTTTATTAGTTTGCGAGATACAAGGTGATTTGTAAAAAACACTTAGAACTGTTTTTTTTACAAATCATCCTGTATCTCGGAAACTAATAGAAATTTGGCAACAACGAAAATATATTTTAAATACCCTTTGAAAATGGCAACTTTTTTCTGATTTAACTGCCCTCGTATCTCTTACCGTTTCTGAAATACCGATGGTGGCCCATGGTATTTTGGACACCCTGTATAGTCATGAGCATTACAAATAGGTCACCCGATTTTTCCTATTGTAAACTGAGCTCACCAGCTACACTGTCGACAATGACAGGGACTGTCATTTTTAACAAAAAATCCCTTGTACAGAAAAGACTGATTTACTCAACATAGCGAAAAATTACAATACCTGTCAGGCGGGTGTCCCCCTTTCAATGCTCACGACTGGAGTGCGTTTAGAAATGGAGTGTGAAGGTAAAATAGTTGTTTGTCAGAGTGTTCTGACGTCATTACTTGGAGTGCACTCTGGGTGCGCTATTTCTGAACGTATTGGGGCATTTTTCAACCCAGTCCCTGAGTGGGGTAATTTGGGCGCACTCTGGGTAAGTTAACTCTCGATTCCTGAACAATTCCAGCGTAACGCTCTGAGTAAGCCCCTGCTAATTTATGAACGGTTTAGAGTTACTCTAGGGTCACTCTCTCACACCCAGAGTACTATTTCTAAACGCAACCCTGTATATACACACACCGGCAAAATTAGAGGAACGGATAAAATTTACACTAAGTTTGACATGAATTTTTCACAGGTTGTAGCTTGATTCTTCAGGAATACATCTGACGTATTACCGTTATTCAATAATTCGTCTTTACATCATATACAGCAATGGAAAAATTTTCAGAATTTTTTGAGACACGCTGAGGAGCGAACCACTGGAAATTCATAATTTTTTTCGAGCAGCGATAGCCCCCTCTCCCGCTGCACCAGTACTCTTCCATCTCACTTTTCTCCGTAGCTTTTAAATTCTGGTTTCAAAATATTCAAACCCCAATTGCTCAGTAACCGTTGAGCAAATTACATTAAAACTTGCAGCATTTATAGCTCTTATGAAGCTCTAAGTGCTTGTGATTTACAATATTCCCAGAATTATAGTTTTTGAGCAAATTGAATGTGAAATTGTTAACAAAATTTGGACCGAAAGGCAACTTTGAGGCTTAATGGCTCAAAAACGCTCTGAGCTATAGAACTTAATTTTGCACAGATTTATAGAGAATTTAGGGCTCTTTCCAATAATGTATAATTTATTTCAATTTGCTCAAAATTTACCAAAGATATGGGTAATTGTTCATGACCATGTCAGGATTTTGAAAATTTTCCCAAGCCAAAAATAGGATTTTATTTTTATTTTTGTTCAAAATAGCCATTTGGAATTGATATCAGGGTTGTTTTCCACTAATTTTGACCCGTCTATCGATTCATAAAGTCAAAATTGAGCAAAACTGAAAAATAAAAAAATCGAATTTTTCATGAATTCTGATTTCAAAATATTCAAACCTCAATTGCTCGGTAACCGTTGGGCAAATTGCATTATAATTTCCAGAATTTGTAGCTTTTATCAAGTTCTAAATGGCCTGTAGTTTACAATATTTCCAGATTTCTAGTTTTTGAGCAAATTGAGTTTGAAGTTTTTGACAAAATTTGGACTAAAAGTCAACTTTGAGGCTCAATTGCTCAAAAACTATCCCAGCTATCGAACTCAATTTTAAACAGATATATAGAGAATTTAAGGCCCTTTCCAATGATGTATAATTTATTTCAATTTGCTCAAAATTTACCGAAGATATGGGCAATTGTTAATGACGATGTCAGAATTTTGAAAATTTTCCAGAGCCAAAAATAGGATTTTTTTTTATTTTTGTGTCTGCTTAAAATGGCCATTTGGAATTGATATCAGGGTTGTTTTCCACTAATTTTGACCCGCTCTATCGATTCATAAAGTCAAAATTCAGCAAAACTAAAAAATAAAAAAATCGAATTTTTTATAAGGGTACCTACCCCCTTTGAATTCTGATTTCAAAATATTCAAACCCCAATTGCTCAGTAACCGTTGAGCAAATTGCATTAAAACTTGCAGAATTTGTAGCTTTTATCAAGTTCTAAATGGCCTGTAATTTACAATATTTCCAGATTTCTAGGTTTTGAGCAAATTGAGTTTGAAGTTTTTGACAAAATTTGGACTAAAAGTCAACTTTGAGGCTCAATTGCTCAAAAACTATCTGAGCTATGGAACTCAATTTTGCACAGATTTAGAGAGAATTTATATTTATTTCCAATGCTGTATAATTTATTTCAATTCGCTCAAGATTTACCAAAGATATTGGCAATTGTTCATGACCATGTCAGGATTTTGAAAATTTTCCAGAGCCAAAAATAGAATTTTCTTTTTATTTTTGTGTCTGCTTAAAATGGCCATTTGGAATTGATATCAGGGTTGTTTTCCACTAATTTTGACCCGCTCTATCGATTCATAGAGTCAAAATTGAGCAAAACTAAAAATTAAAAAAATCGATTTTTTTATAAGGTTTGCCCTTTGAACTCTGATTTCAAAATATTCAAATATCAATTGTTCGGTAACCGTTGAGCAAATTGTATTAAAATTTCCAAAATTTGTAGCTTTTATCAAGTTCTAGATGGCCTGTAATTTACAATATTTCCAGATTTCTAGGTTTTGAGCAAATTGAGTTTGAAGTTTTTGACAAAATTTGGACTAAAAATCAACTTTGAGGCTCAATTGCTCAAAAACTATTTGAGCTATGGAACTTAATTTTGCACGGATTTATAGAGAATTTAAAGCCCTTTCCAATGATGTATAATTTATTTCAATTTGCTCAAATTTTACCAAAAATATGAGTAATTGTTCATGACCATGTCAGGATTTTGAAAATTTTCCAGAGCCAAAAATAGGATTTTTTTAAATTTTTGTGTCTACTTAAAATGGCCATTGGGAATTGATATCAGGGTTGTTTTCCACTAATTTTGACCCACTCTATCGATTCATAAAGTCAAAATTGAGCAAAACTGAAAAATAAAAAAATCGAATTTTTCATAAGGGTATCCCCTTTGAATTCTGATTTCAAAATATTCAAACCTCAATTGCTCGGTAACCGTTGAGCAAATTGCATTAAAATTTTCAGAATTTGTAGCTTTTATCAGGTTCTAAATGGCCTGTAATTTACAATATTTCCAGATTTCTAGTTTTTGAGCAAATTGAGTTTGAAGTTTTTGACAAAATTTGAACTAAAAGTCAACTTTGAGGCTCAATTGCTCAAAAACTATCCGAGCTATCGAACTCAATTTTGCACAAATTTATAGAGAATTTAGGGCTCTTTCCAATAATGTATAATTTATTTCAATTTGCTCAAAATTTACCAAAGATATGGACAATTGTTCATGACCATGTCAGGATTTTAAAAATTTTCCAGAGCCAAAAATAGGATTTTATTTTTATTTTTGTGTCTGCTTAAAATGACCATTTGGAATTGATATCAGGGTTGTTTTCCACTAATTTTGACCCGTCTATCGATTCATAAAGTCAAAATTGAGCAAAACTGAAAAATAAAAAAAACGAATTTTTCATAAGGGTATCCCCCTTTGAATTCTGATTTCAAAATATTCAAATCTCAATTGCTCGGTAACCGTTGAGCAAATTGCATTAAAATTTTCAGAATTTGTAGCTTTTATCAAGTTCTAAATGGCCTGTAATTTACAATATTTCCAGATTTCTAGTTTTTGAGCAAATTGAGTTTGAAGTTTTTGACAAAATTTGAACTAAAAGTCAACTTTGAGGCTCAATTGCTCAAAAACTATCCGAGCTATCGAACTCAATTTTGCACAAATTTATAGAGAATTTAGGGCTCTTTCCAATAATGTATAATTTATTTCAATTTGCTCAAAATTTACCAAAGATATGGACAATGGTTCATGACCATGTCAGGATTTTAAAAATTTTCCAGAGCCAAAAATAGGATTTTATTTTTATTTTTGTGTCTGCTTAAAATGACCATTTGGAATTGATATTAGGATTGTTTTCCACTAATTTTGACCCGCTCTATCGATTCATAAAGTCAAAAATTGAGCAAAACTAAAAAATAAAAAAATCGAATTTTTCATAAGGGTATCCCCCTTTGAATTCTGATTTCAAAATATTCAAACCTCAATTGCTCAGTAACCGTTGAGCAAATTGCATTAAAACTTGCAGAATTTGTAGCTTTTATCAAGTTCTAAATGGCCTGTAATTTACAATATTTCCAGATTTCTAGTTTTTGAGCAAATTGAGTTTGAAGTTTTTGACAAAATTTGAACTAAAA